CTGCTGGGCTTGGGGGCTTTTGTTCTTTTGGTTTAGTTTGGTTTGGTTTTTTTTCTCTGGCAGTCCAAATTCACGCATGCAGACCTGTCCGGGACATCTCTTGGTTCCCGTGTGGGGGTAGGGAGTGTCTGCAACTGCTTTGGAAAACGACTTTGTCCCGCCACGCACAGAATGCAGCATAGGCCATGAAGCGGTGAAGATAAAATTAATTTGTATCCTTCACTTTCCTCTTCTCTCATCGCCTCCATGCGTTCTCCATGTTTCTGTGGTCACAGAAGACCAGCCAGCTCCCTCAGCCCGATGACAGTGCCAGTATATTGAGCGGCAGAAATGTAGCTAATTGATTTTAAAATAATTTAGAATACCATTTCTCACTATTCCCGCCCTGGGCTGGTGAAAATTTGAAGCGCCTGCTGCAAGATGAAACCTCTCTGGCTTTTGGACATCATCCTGATCAATTCATTAATGTTACTAAATTTTATTAGCCCATACTGAGTCAGCAGATGTTTGATTCACTAAAAGTGACCGTAGTTTGTCACTGCCACGATGTGCGGGAATCCATGAGAAACAACATGAGGCAGAGTAGGAAATGTAGGCCCTTGCGGCAAGAGGGATATGGTCGCAAACCGAAACGATTGACCGAACGCTTCTGTTGCCCTGTACCGCCAGCAATAGCCTGGCTCTCCGTTATTGCTAATTTGAGGCATATGGCCCCTCCCTGCTTTTTTTTTTTTCGGGTGGGGAGGGGATATAAAAGATAGAGGTTGTAGTTTATTTGGGGTTGCTTTGTGGTCCCCTGTATTCTGGAGCTGGGCTTCTCAAGGCTACCTATTTAATACGGGTTTGCTTGTTCTCCAGGGAGGCTTGGCCTCAATAAGAGCTCCACCTCATCTTCCTTGCAGCCTCGTGCACAGCAGTCGCTTTCCAGCTCTGCTCTTCTAGGAACCCGTTCATGTCTTTTTATAATCACAAGTGAAATGATGCATGATTAAAGATGTGTCTTACAAAAAGCGTCACCTAGGGTTTCTTGACATGCAGGGTAAAACCAGGCATATATCCAGCTGGTGAAAAACCACTTGGGTCATTTTTAGCAGACACGGAGATGGGAGAAAACATTGGCTTGGCTACTTTGAATAGACAGCGTGTTTTCAGACGGAAGCTGGCTTTGAAAAGGATTTTTAAAAATACATCCCCTACTACAAAGTTCCAGTGGTGATTTTGTTTACCCTGCCAGCCAAAAAAGCAGACAGGAACAATATTTTCAGAAAGAGGAAACCAAGTAGGAAAGCAGTACACACACGTATCTTGCACGCAGGAGGCTGCCGCAAGAGCATGTTCATCCTGTGACGAAATATGGCAGAAACCCATGTACTTTCTGTGTAAACCAGAGGAGTCAAGAATGTTACAGGGGCATAGGTAGGGCTAAGAGCAGGCAGATCTGGCCTAGAACAACAGTCTGCTGCCATACAGATAATTCTCACACAGATGCCGAAAATCAGGTTTGTATCTTTCCGGGAGCACCAGGATACACATAGCTTGGTGCACGTTGCGGCGTTCAGCAGCCAAGTGCAAGGAGACACAGTGAGGAACTGCGGACGGCTGTGCTCGCTGAGCATGCTGTGTCCTGAGCGACTCTTTGCTCCTTTTCCCAGGAAGAAGCTCCAGGCAGCCTTGGCCTGATCAGTGTTGGCAAGCGGCACCTCTGCCTGGTTGCCATGTGGTGCATAGTTGGTACCAGCAAGGGGTGGGCCCTGTGGTTGAGGTGAGGGGTCCAAGGCGCTGGGCAGGGTGGGAGACCTTTGCAGCCTGCAGAAAGAGGAAGGAGTGACGAAGCCCACTGACGAGCGGGGATCCTTTCTGTGGGTGCTTCTCCGTGCACTCCGCTCAAGAGAGCCTGGGAGGCTATGGGAAAACGCTTCTCTTAGCAACTCCCTGAAATGCTGACAGCTGCCAGCGAAATTCGGGCAGTTACCAGGAGTGTGTCCTGGAGGAGAGTTGGGAGGCGGTGACCAGGACAGCAGCGAAAGAGCAAACGAAAGCCTGTGCTAGGCCAGGGTTTCCCACCTGCTTCCAGATACTGTAAGATGGGATGGCCCAGAACCAAAATCCCATCAGGGCTCCAGGGTGGCCCCTTCCATCAGGAGGCCGGGAAGAGCAGATGGTCCTTCCGGCTACTGTCTCGTCCCTCAGCTGGCAACACTGCAAAGTTGTGTAGGAAGAAAAATCAGTATTTTGGGAGTCCTGTAATGAAGGCAGAGGTGAGGTCAGAGGGGAACTTGTACTCTCACCACTATGCTCAGTATTTCCTTTTACAAAAAACGTACCAGACAGCGTGGATTTTGACAGTTCCCTGCAGCAATTACCAATGTGTATCTGAGAAACTGGGAATTCCCCTACATTTTTCTTCAAAAATATAGGCACGCGACTGACTTTCCACCCACAGGGAGAGCAGGGGAGTTCCGTGCTGGAGGCATCTTTCTTTGGGTTCCTGGGCTCATTCTGCAGCTCTGGGCTGTCCTCTGCGGGGACCAGAGCATGGATTTGAAGCTCTCACTTCACTGCCAGGGGAAGGTCACAATAAAAAGCTTTTCTGCCTCATCTTTTTGCTTTCGTTCCTCATTATGCTCTGTGTTGCTTAACAGTTTGGAAATGAAAATCCTTTTTATACGTTATCTGAGGATATAAGAGTTCAAATATAAACCTGAAAACAGTACAGTAGCTTGGAAAATACTGTGGTCACAGCCCTGTGCATTTTAATGAGGACAAATTCCATCGCACTTGCACCTTGGTCCTCTACACTCCTCTGGCTCATCACTGGCATAGGATTTCATGCGTGTTTCATTGGAGCTTTGTTAATGTGCGTCTGTCCTGATTTCCTTGGTGTTTTAGAATCCAAGAGCTGACTTGGCGGCTCTCCAGCTCTGTTTGATAATGGCTCTTCAAGAGGAAGTGCCTAATAGATGCTTGTGAATGAATTTGTTTCCTCCCTGGATTTGTTTTTCTTTTTCTTTACACAGGTCTCACAGGCAGCTGCAGAACTCCAGCAGTACTGTATGCAAAATGCCTGCAAAGATGCCTTGCTTGTTGGGGTTCCTGCAGGGAGCAATCCCTTTCGTGAACCCCGATCCTGTGCTCTACTCTGAAATCAGGTAATAAAAAGTCACAGATTCAACAACAACAGCTCTGATTTGAAACTCAGGCCCTAGGAGGGACGAGGGTGCATGGTGGTAGTTGTTTGAATGTTGAATTCTCAGTAGCAAAGTGTTGATCACTTCCCCGCTGGCTGTACAAATAGTTTCCTCTTTCTTTTAGGTATGGCAATTGAAGCATGCCTCTTTCCTACAGCTCCTTCTAGAAGTGTTTTGCTTAGGAGTATTTTTTTTTTTGGTTGGTTGGTCCTTTTTTGTGTTTGAGCAGCTTTAGGGTCATTAGCAGCATCCAAAATAATAAAAAACATGCGTGACACACAGCTGTGTTTGGCACAGCCAGACATAAAAGCCAGTTGCATAACCCAGCTTGCAGAAGCAAGACAAAGCTGTGGCAGTAGCATGTGCTCTGATGACTAGCTCACAGCTTGAGCAAGAACCTTGTGAAAGTACGATTTGCCCTCAGTGTCCTATTGCAGTTCATTTGGCTGCGCCCATTCTTAGGCTCTTCGTGCTGTTGCTGTTGGTACAGCACCAGAAGTGATGGAAGTGGCGAGGAGCCGAGGCGATCTGTGATCACATCCTTCCCAACCCTTTTCAGCACAGATCTAAAGGATGAGATGCTGCCTAATCTCTGACTGCCTTAGCGCTCTGCGCTGCTTGTGCCTGCGTAACACCTGCAGGGTGGAGGGGGTTGTGTGATCGTGTGTGCGACAGTCCAGCGTTTGCAGATCTTTGGGGTCCACTTCCATGATTCCCACTCTTGTGTCTCCCATCTGTCGCATGGCCGTCAGCGTTGGCAGCAGGAGGCTGCGTGCGCTGGTGGTCTCAGGCAGGATCACACCATAACTTTCCTTGGAAGATCTTGTTTCTGCTGCATGACAAACAAACGTGGAAGTAGGATATTGAGAAGGGGTTACTCTTCTTTAAAAGAAAGAACAAAACTAGTGCCTGCTGAAGAGCCAAAATACCTACTTAGAGAGGAAGGACCACTGAATTCTGTTCTTTCTTTGAGCGTACTGTGAAAGTGAAAATGGGTGTTTGCTTTAAGGGCAGAATTTAAACTGGAACATTAACTACTTGTAAAATCTTCCCCTTCCCACTGCCAGGGTTCCTGAGCTCGCAGCTGTGCTCGTGCCTCACTCAGTAGCGCGGGTTTGACTGTTGCCACGTAGGTCTGATGAAACAGGGTTGAACCTGAAGAGAGAGAACAACTGCGCATGAGATGCCCTTCTGGAAAAACTTGGCAGCGGGGAAAGCACAAGCAGAAGGTTTTCTTAATTTAGGTGCTACCCTGCAAATAAGAGAAAATTGGTAGTGACTGTTGCACGGGTTCTTCCGTTACTGAAGCAGCCTTTCTACTTTTTGTGTGTGTCTCTGCATGTGTATGTATGTATTTCTAGGATCCAAGTTTGATTGCATCATCCAGACAGGATACAAAATATTTTCTCAAAGGAGTTTGATGTTTAATTCATGATACTTACAGAAACGCATAGCTCAGCCCATGATATCATTTAGCCATCTTTTGCTGCTGGATCAATTGTCTAGTTTATTATTATCTAGCTGTCTTAGGATCATAAAAAACATGAGAGCAAAGTCGAAAAAACAATTAAAAAAATTTATAATATTCAAGGATGCCAACATCCAACAAAGGAAAGCAGTTATTCAGTTTTTCTCAGTGCAAAGGGGCTTTTGTGTTACGCTTTGTAAGAGAAATGTATCAGCCTAGGGAGACGGCATTGAGTAAACCTTTTTTTCCTCTTATAGGGAAGGTCATCAGAGAGTCGCCTTCAAGCATGACATGAATAACAACTGCCTCCCTTCACAAGAAAAGTCTCTCTCTGTGTCTTCACTTCCGTGTGGCTAAAACGATGTCCTAGATGTTTATCTGTTTGTTCCTGTGTATTCGTATCTCACTATCTTTCGCTAATGTTCTTAAAGTTTTTTAATGTAATTCTTATTCTTCTCATAAGCTATGCTAACTATACAGATGTTACTTGAGAAGTTTACATTTCAGAAAAGAAAAACAGATTCGTTTTTACCAAATTACTTACCCCTATCCTGGTAAACTGTTACCTGGAACAATAGTAAAAGTTATTGGTTTCTTTCCAAAATAAAACATGGGAAAAGTGAATTGATAAATTATAAAACTAAATGCTGTTAGTACTGAAATAATGTTCTCAGGGGAAATTTTGCTCCCATTAGCAAGATCTGGAACGAACTACAGTTTTTTTTCAAGTGCATCCAAGTCGATAAATGACACGTATTAGAAACTGCTGGTCACAATGTGTAGCACAGGCTTGACTCCCTACGGCATTTCTCTTACAGGATTCCTGATCTGTAGTACTTCTCCTAATTTGTATTTGTGAAGGTACTGCCATGGTGGAATTCCCTTGACGTGTTTAAAATGTGACCAAACAGACACTAGAGAACCATGTACACCCAAAGATAGTTGCATGAGTAATTGTCGAGGTTTGCTGTACACAAAACTTACTAAAATGTGCTTGGTCGTTTGCCTTCATTTTTTTTATAGAGCACTTTTACAAGGACAACTAACTTTTTTAATATGTTTTTAATTTTGTCTACTTTCTATTGTTTGTATTAATCTTTTAGAAGTTTGGAAATAAAATTCGTCTCCCTACTGGCTTTGAACTCATTGTTCAATTCCAACAAAGAACAGCTATTGTAAGGAGGGTACTTTGATTTTGCAGTGGGAGGGGAGGCCTCAAGCTATTTGGCTTTTTGGGAAGGTTGCTGTTGGATTTTCAGAAAATGTGTCTTATTGATAGAAAAAATACTATTTGTAGCTATTTACCCGTTTTGTGGTCAATACTAACAATGTTGTCAGGCTCGCTTACACATTTTGAGATTGTAAGGAAGAAGTTTGCAATCCGAGTATTTAACTTATAGAAGTGTATAAATAGTATATTAACTGAAATGGGGCAATGAGCGTCCTCCAGGCAGTTCAGTCTTTGTCAGAGGATTTTCACGCTTGCTTTCCTGCAGGAAGACGCTGAGATGAGAGTCATAATACAGCCAGTATGCATTGTGCCTCTAAATACAGACGAGAACGTCCTTCCTCAAGAGCTTTTCTTCGCCCTGGCTTCCTTTCATTGTAGGCTGTTTAAATATGGCAGTTTTTATTTAGTCCTCGGTGCACGCACATGCTGCGGAAGTCTAGAGGAAGCATGGTTGTTCTTACTTGCACAGTGGTGATCAGACTGAGGTCAAAATGCTCCAAGTCAGGGAAGGAGAGGGACGAGAATATGTATGAAATCCCTCCAAACAGCCAGCGTCTGGCTACTGGCCACTCCCTGCCAGCCAAGACCTTTGTGTTTGCACCTCCCGCGATGAAACCTCCCCCCGTCCCCACATCGGTTCCTTTCCCCAGGCCTCCCTGCTGCATCTGCTTTCCTGCGTGGCTTCCTCACTGGGAGCTTGGGTTCTGGAGCGGCTGCTGAGCTGGCATACGGAGTGGCCAAATGACAGGGTGCAGGGAGGGCAGCCCGAGACAACCGCTGTTCTCCCTTGGCCCTGCCCGGCTCCCTGTGGTGTCTTTCAGCTGGAGCATCCGGGTCTCACACCAGCAGCCGTGCTGCAGCTGCGGGATGGGTGGGCTGTTCTGCAGTCCCGCGGGAGGAAGACACGGATTCCCGTCTCTACAGTAGAGCGTGCTTGCTGCAACTCCTTGCACTCGGGGCAGCACGCCCACAATAGAGCAAATGAAGTGAATGCACACCTCTGTACGCGGAGTGTCTCGCGTGAGCCACGAGGCCCCCTTTGCTCGCCGTCATTTCTCTCTGTCTGCCGGCGAGGCTCCTCCACCTGCAGGTGCCACCTGCCTGGTCACTGAGCAGCCCACGGATTTGATCCAAGCACTGAGCGTCCCTCACCCGCTGATGGAGGACTGGTGATAAAGTTTTTGTATCGCATCTTTTTGTCTGAGAATTAGTTGCTTCCTAATTCTTCTTATAGACGATTTGGGGACACAGGGGGAGCGCATCTTTATAATGCAGTAGTAATTTTCCTCCACATTAAATAGACGGGAGGAGAATGTCACATGTGATAAATTTGTCAGTGTGTGTGAGAGATTGAGGGTCATTAAAAAAACACAATAAAAAACAATGGGTCACTGCAAGCCTTATTTTCCCCTGCGATGCCAGTTACTAATGGCACACTGACATTTTTTCTACCTAATGGAAACTTAATGCAGGCAGCACCTGAATTTTCTTCAGTGATTTGACGTAGGCAACATGCCTTTGTTTCCGAAGTGATCTATAGATTGTCTGAGGTAGTCTTCCATGACTGCGTGAAAGTCCTGGTGTCAGCCGTTGCCTGTGGGAGAGGAGGATATAAATACATAGCTTGGCAGCAGCAGCTATCATTTTCTCCACTGTGGTCATCTGTGACCAAGACTGCAGAGCTGCACACTTAAAAGAACAGATTCCTGTGCCTGTCAATTTGGGAGACGGTTCTGAAAAATAGAGCCAAACCCATGACGCAAAGAGATGGAAAATGTTAGGTCAAGTGACCACAAAAATGGACCCAAAATAGTAAGCAAACTGCAATTTTTATTTAAGTCTTTCTCTTATTCTGGGCAAAACAGGGAAACACTGGCTTGTTTGCAGTTCTACTAAAAGTCTTTATATGTTACACTTGAAAGGCATTTTCTGAAGTCTTGCAAACAATTTGGGTACAAATAATGTGGGGATATTGCTGTGAACTAAAATTGCTATTAGTGCTGTCATCGTAGCTTTTAGGAATTCTCAGCTAAAAATCAGCATTCCATTTTCTCTGAGAGACCAAAGCTTTCTCCCATAAGTGTGGGTTTTATTTATCCAAATAGTGAATATCCGCTCAATGAAGGCTCAGTGTCAAGAAAGTATTTAACTGCAAGCATAAACCATAAACTTGTTGGGTTTTTTTTCCTTTTTCTTTCCTTTCTGTTTTTACATCAAACTTAAAAAGATTTGTGAGTTTGCAAACAGAATCACCGCAGCTGAGGGCCACTGAACAGACACTTGAGAGTCTGGAGCGGGCACGCCTTCCTGCTGCAGGATGGTTCCATTGCTCCCACACCTATTTCCAGTTCCGTTGCCAAATCCCTTGATGGACAGTGAGTTTGGGTACTCTTCTATCCTCTCTCCTCTGTAGCTTGCAATTGAGATGCCTTTTTTTTTCCTTTCTCTTACCCCTTCCAGCTATAGCCTACAGTATCCGGCACTGCCTCCCAGATGACTCTCACCTTCCTACATGCTGATGCACTGTAGCAGGATGAGGAATGTGGATGCCAACAACCTCTCTGCCTCCAACAGATTATGCAGAGAGCTCGGGTCACAGCTTAGTTCTCTGAATCAAATCTATTAGACTCCTAAATTTCAACATCTCTTTCACACGTTCGTTGTCCATAAAACAAACAGGTGGTTTCTGTAGCTTGGTTAGGATTAAAGGCAGTTCAGGAACTCAACACATTGGTTTCTAAAGGAGCCATCAGAAGGAAAGAAGTGGAACCAAGCCCAAGGGACAAATACAAAGGGTCACAGCTGTAAGTGCAAGAAAGCCCTAAGACTTTCTGAAGCAGCCTTGAGATTCTGGGAGATCTAGTCCATCTACAAGTTTGGAAAGCTGCATGCTCAGGGAGCAAACACAGGTGCCTTGAAAATTCTTATGAGCTTCAGTGTCTGTTTTTTTTAATTCACATTTTATTTTTTTGTATAAACAATTATAAGGTACCTTTATATCATCCATGAGGACAAACAGAGAAGCAGTAATTCTCCACGTTCAAGAAACTAGTTTAGTAAAACTCTAAAAACATAAAAAAGTATCCTGAATTACTAAGGATTCCCAAACGCTAATTTCTCTCTAAAGAACCCCCCCCCCCAAAAAATGGTATTTAATCTATTTCCCTTCAAAGAGCTTAAGAATTTTAAAAAGTATGTGTAGTATGGAAATCTTCATTCCACTCAAAAGAATTTAAGACGTGTTTGTCCATCACTTCTTCCAGGGACTCTTTCATAAGTCAATCTCCTTTTTTTGAAGCCTGGTACTTCAGCAAATCCTGAACCTGGAAAAGTAGCAGAAGAAAAAGATGCATATGATAAACTACAAATACCATACGAATGCAGACCTAACTGTGTGTTTCCCAGAAGTGGTAACAGACTTTAGCTTTAACCAGTGTGCTCTGTATGAAAACTATCAATGGCCATAAATTTAAATGTGTACAGATTAATATTAACTACTACTTACTACTACTGATCAGTTTTAGGCATATCATCCTGTAGTAATAATACAGTACCTGAAATCTAAAAGAAATACATCAACCTGCAGTATGCTTAACCACAGTATTTCAGTAAAGATTTTAATGCTTATTTCTATTTCATTAATACTACAGTCAGTACTATTCAGTAATTGTGAAAGTGAATTATTTTTAACCAGAGACATGTTGATGTTTCTAAGTTGTTTAAAAAAGCTACTTACATTCTTAAGAGTCAAGCATTTTTACAATAAAATATTTGAGGAGTTGTTTATTCAAAATAAGTTACTGTAAGAAAATTCTGGTTCTCTTCCAGTGGAAATACTGGCTTGGCATACTGGCATTAATTGTTTGTGGTTTAATAAAAGTTTGATCTGAAGCCTGAAGAAATCCCTGGCGGTTTCCAGTGTGTCTTTTAACTTGACTCTGTAAACATTTCTTAAATTTGGGACTTCAGAAGGCTTTCGCTGTATGAAGGCATTTTTTTTTTTTTGCATTAGCACGCACAACTATTTAGTATACTTATTTTTCTGCTGGCTAATGAATAATAAAGTAATATAAGCCTGTTCTTCCAAAATCTAAAGCAAAAATGACTTTCCCTTTTTTGATTTAATTCAGATTTAAGTATACCTTGGCCCTACTGGGCAAGAGTATTACAGAAAACTTATCAGTCAGAGATCACAGTGTTAGCAGGATACTATAGAACGTGGTACTAGAAGAATCTGCCTGATCTGTACTGAAACTATTGTATTTATAATTTTGTACTATCAGCGCCAGTTACAGGTAACTGAAATAATGTTGACTACCCATCAATACTCCAGGTCTCAATTTTAATCCCAATGGAGAGGCAATGGAGTTTCTGTATGAAAATTTTAATTTACATAGGCTGAAAATTAAAAGCAGTTCACCATATCCAATTAAACCTTCCCTCTCTTTACTTCATAATTGCCTTAAGCAGCCCATGAAACATAGTGATAACAGTGAGTTGCTTGTGTTTTCATGAATGAGTCTGATCTAATTAGTGAAAGCATTTAATGCTGTGCTGACCTTGCTGTAGCACCAAGAGATTTAACAAGAGAAAACAAATTTAATCACAGGTACTAGGAGTTAGGCACTTTATTTAAGAAGCCTAACCATGGATTTTTAAGAAATCTGGTACCTCACCTATAGGGAAGGAGCAGAACTAAAAAAAAATACTGCAATATATAATACAGCAGTACTTAGTCTGACACTAAGTCTTAGCTTAGTGGTGGTTTCCTACTTTTAAGACTCCATGGATACATATTATGGCTTATCAAAGAAGGTCTCAAGCTAACTG